TCTATTGTGATTTTGTACATTCGGTGTCCTGTAGGTTTCTTGGATATAGATTTCTGTTTCATTCTTCATGTCTGGAAAGTTTTCTGACATTACTTTTTTGGGGGGGTACCAAATTTCTTTATTTGAAGGAATGGTACAAATTAAAGAACATAAGTGGATGTTTTGGTACAACTTATAGAAAAGGTAAAGGTAACCCCAACATGCATGCACTGCCTTGGTGACCAGGGAAGTCACTTCCACTGCTATGGGAAAATCAGCCTAAGGTTTAGCTCTCATTATCACTTTCTCCCAGGGTATGCTTGTCAAAGAGATACTCTGCCATACCAGATTCTGGGGCTCCCATCTTGCACAAGTTGGTTACATGGTCACTCAATTCTTTGATGGATGTCACCTACTCATTCAGGTAATGAGTCTCAATGAAGTTACACAAGTGGGGGTCATTTTTGTCAGTGGCCAGTTTGTGCAGTTCCAGAAGTGACTGTTCACACTTTTCTCTGAGTGCAAAGCACACTCCATTGCATTGAGCCCACTCTCCCAGTCATCACGATCTGGTTTCTTGATATCCTGAAGGAAAATTCAGCCACCTCCTTGGTTCTGCAGCTTCATCAGTTTCTCGGCATGTTCCCTCTCCTCATAAGATTGATGAAGAAAATATTTGGCAAAGCTCTTCAAAGCCACATCATCACGGTCAAAGTAGTAAGACATGGACAGACATAGGAGGCACAGAGATCCAGGTTGACCTGGTGGTAGTTCTGGTACACCTGCGAGGGGGACATGGTAGTCATGGTGGGGGCTGAGGAGAGGTGCGGCACTGGAGTGGCAGCCAAGGCCTTGGGTGGTCCGAGGGCACTGTGAAGAGGGGGCAAAGGACTGCGGCCCGAGCAGCCAGCCGGGGTGGGGGTCAAGCGCCGGATTCTATCCAAGCACTGTTGAAGCAGGAAATAATATATCTCTTCTGATATTATTTCATTGAACAGATTGCTCATTCCTTTGATTTGGACCTCTATGCCTTCCTCTTCCCCATAATTTAAAAATTTGGTCTTTTTATGCTATCCCATATTTCTTGGATGTTCTGCTTGTGGTTTCTTATCACTTTCATTGTGCTGTCTACGTTCTTTTCAGTATGATATAATTTATCTTCAATATTGATGTCCTTCATTATTAATGGTCTACTCTATTGGTGATGCTCTCATTTGAGTTTTTAATTTGGTTTAATATTTTCTTCATTTCAAGGATTTCTGATTGTTTTTTTGTATAACCTCTATCTCCCTGTTGAGTTGATCTTTGGCTTCTTGGATTTGTTTATGTAGCTCATTGTCAAAGTGATCTTTTTCTGCCTGTATTTGTTGTCTAATGTCTTCTTTGAGACCCCAAAACAATTTATTCATGTATATCCTGAAGCCTTTCTCTGTAATTCTTTCTGCTGTAGCTGTCAATTGTTCTAATGATGTGTTGTCCTGAATTATTTGTGGTACTTTCTTCCCTTGTCTTTTCATGTTGCTCGTGTTTCTTTTTTTCCCCCTGCTCTATGTGACTGGTGTGTTGTTGTTTTTACTCTATAGATTTGTAGTGCTCTTGTATTGTGCCAAGATCCCTCCTTTGTGGGGAAGGACAATGTTAACAGATCCTAATATCATCAGTACATCACCTATGAACAAATTATTGTTATTAAGACATTTCTATTTATTCTCGATGTCCAAAAATGTTGGATTCAATTATTATTTAAGATATAATCAGTAGTTTCATAAAATTTTCTGGTGGCAGACAGTGAACTGGGTGATGGGTATAGGACAATATGCTAAGTGAGAAAGATATGAGGGTTAATTTACCTTAGGAAATTTGAAGGAGAACTCTAATGAAGAGGGTTAAAGGCTGGGGAATAGATAGGAGGTAATTTATGGTAGACAAGTACATGGGAGGACAGTAGAGTACATAAAAACAGACACACATATGTATTTAGAAAATTACAGATTGTTAAAATAGTAAAGTTTGGAGGGTATAAGAAGAAGAAAGAAGAGAAAAGGGGAAAGAAAGAAAGAGAAAAGAGAGAGAGAAGAAAAAGAAAAGAGAATAATAATAAAATTTTTTAAATAAGTAAATAAAAACCAACAACAGCAAACAAAACTCTTAGAATTCCATTTCCTTTCTGCTTCTCTTCTCTTCCAGTAGGTGGAGTTGTCTTAACCAGGGTGAGAGGATTTGAGCCCCCACCCCCACCCCTCCCTCTATTTTCTCCCTCTTCTGCCTGGAGCTTCCCAATCCTGGTTTCTCTGATTTGCTTCAGGTTTTCCACTCTTAAGTCACTAGATCCCTTCCCTCCTTTGCTTATCAGGTCTCAACTGCGGTACTTCTCACTCTGGGCTCACACCAGATGGGCGGTACCCTAGTTGCACTGTGCTCCAGCTCCCATTCAGCTGAGAGAGGTTTTTGAGCTGGGTAGTCACTGTGCTGAGTAATGGCCTCTGGGGAGGGAGGAAGTGGGAAACCAGGTGCCGGTTCAAATAGAGGTCTGTGCTGATAGCCAGTGCTCCCATTCCCATTTAGCAGCTACTGGTTTTTGCACTGGATATTCACTGTGCTGAGTAATCACAACTGGGGAGGGGGGAGGGGGAGGAAGTTGGGAACCAGGTACCTGTTAAAACAGAAATCCCCACTGATAGCCACGCCCACCAAAAAATGGCGAGAGGGGTTTTCCGAGATGGAGTCGGTCTGTCTCTAGCCCTGGGATGTCTGGTAAGGTGGGGAGAGCTGGGATAGTTTTGTGCTATGGCTAGATTGCAGCCTTGTGGCCTGTGTGGGAGCAATGCGCAGCTGATTAAGTGTTTCTTTTACTCTACTTGAGTGCCATGTGTGCGCTAGAACTGCTGTCTTTGGGTCTGGAGTCTTACTGGAACATAGAGGCTCTGATTTACATGCAGTTGGTCACAGATCTGATGTATTCTATGAAAAATCCGCTGTGTAGGGGTCCTGGTACATGCTCTGAGGTGTTGTATTCCATCTAGGTGAGGCCTTGTGGAGATGCCGCCTGACTATTTTCTTGGTTTAATTCCACAGAGCAGCCAGAAACAGTACCCCCTCTATTCCGCCATCTTGGATCCCCCTTCTAATCCTGTTTATTTTGAGACAGAGTCTCACTAAAATGCCCAGGCTGTCCTCAAAACTTGTAATCCTCCTGCCTCAGCCTCCCATGTACCTGAGAATAACAGATTTTTTTAAGCATTAAGACAATGTTTAAGCTGTAGGTTTGAGGATAAAAGGAAATTGCATTACATGTACAGTATTGTCCCAAGTAGAATACACTGCTTAACTTTGAACATATGTCTGTGGGAGACAGGAAAATATGTGTTACTTTTCCTTTCTACTTTCTAAATTTACTTAATGACACATAATAACCACAATCAGACAGGTAATTTATTTTTTAAATGCTTGCTGTTGGGCACATAAAGTTTCGTTTAAAAGCAAAGCTTTTAATAAATGTAGATGGTTTTCCACTGACAAGAAGGATGCCTACACTGGAATCACTCATTTTGAAACTTAACGTTCTGCCTAGAAAGATTGTAAAATGCAGAGAACACAAAGATGGAAACTTAATTCACCAGAATCTAACAATTTCAAGACATAGTTAACTCTTTAACAACATCGGTTTGAACTGGATAGGTCCACTTGGATGTGGACTTTGGCGGGATGGATTTGTGAAAATTTTTAAAAAGAAAAAGGAACTTTATAGCCTAGACTATTGAGAAAAATTAAGAAAAGGGTATGTCATAAATGCATTTTATGATTTGCTATAATTAAATATGCATAAATCTATTATAAAAGTTAAAATTTATCAAAACTCACACACATAATCACAGATCATACACAATGCCACTCAGTGGAGAGAAAGGCAAAAAAAAAAAAAAGTGAAGAGGCTGCATTAAATCTTACTGCATGAATGAACTGCAGCACATCCTCATCCACTGCAGTAATTTCATAGCCATCTCCAGTTACTGTTGCTGTGAGCTCCCATGTTGTAATTCTTTAAAAGCCCCTGTGATGCTGATCATCTCCAGGTGAGCTCCACACTTTCAAAGGTGGACAGTAATTAGTTGTTCTTGTAACAGACCTGAGAATGGGCTCAGCTAGAAGCAATCCTTCACTTCCAGTGGAGTATGAACATTGGCATTACCAGTGTCTACTGTGAGACTTCTGTCAAGAGCTTCCCTCTCTGGTCAAACATACGGAGGACTAAAAGGACAATTATTGTCATTTGGCTGCCCAGCTTGCTTTCTCATGTCACATTGTATTAGTGACCTGACTATCTTTTAGGATATCAGCCCTCTTTTATCCTTAGTTCAATTGGTTTGGGTGGAACCTACCCCAGTCTACTGAGAAGTAGGAGTAACCTGGCTGAGGTCAATCAGAGGATTCAACTCTTTGAGCCTTAGCAACTTGTTAATTTAGGCCAGTGAATGTTCAGTGTGAGAATTTTGCTTGAAACATTGAGATGAGAGGTGGACTGTATCACACTGAGTTTTGATAATTAAATGAAAGATGTATAAAACTGCCCTGGAAAGAAGCCATGATGATGAACGATTTGCAAGGTAGGATTAGACGGTGGTAGATGTGCCTTGTTACTGACTATTCCTCACTCTACTATGGCACTCCAAAAACTGTTCCCTGATCATCTTCTACCAGGTCAGGGAAAGGAGACACATCTCCAACATGCTTGGTCGTACTATAAGAAATGGAGGCACATCTGCTAAATGCATGTCTGCTGCAAAAATTACACTACTGAGCTTAGCAGCATGGCATGGAGACCATGGATGGTTGTATCACTGGGAACCCAGAATGTTTCACTGACCAATACCACATCCTACAGTCTCCACCTTATGCTCTTGGGTTCCCATTCTGAGCTGGAATAGGTGGGGCACTCTGAGTCATCAGCACTGGGTACTGATGTGGTCACTGCCTGATTCTCACACAACCACTCAAAAGACGTCATCAGGCCAGGCAGTGAGGGTAGGGAGCTTTCATAGAAAGCCTTCTATTATAAAGCACCTTAAGAATAGAAACACAAGATCAAGGAACCCACTCCATCTTTTTCTGCCCCTGAGGACTAAAAGAGAACAAAAGGAAGCTCCACATGCCCTCCTAGGAAGATGCATTTGCGCCTGCTGCTGTGGGCCTTCTTTCTGCCTCCCAAGGCAAGGACAGGTGAGTGACCATCCCCTCTCTCAGAGGTCCAACCCTGAACCACAGCTGGCACAGAATTCCTGTCCCTTCTGCACACCCCCGATCCATCCTTCTACCCAGAGCCTTCTGAATCCCAGTTCCAGCCCCACTGCAGAACCCCAAGAGAGACACTGGGTTGGTAGCAACAGGAACATAGGGGGCAGGAGTCTGATTTGGAGAAGAGCCAGTGGATTCAGTCCCCTGTCTAGACACCATCCTGGTCATCTGGAAAGTGGGGTTTGGCTACAAGTGCACCCAGAGGGTGGAAGGGAGAAAATGTTCAATACTCCTAGAAAGGGGCAGAGTGAGTCTGACACCTGTGTCTGGGGTGAGACAGGTGCACCCCTTGCCAACTGCTTAGAAGAGAACTCTGGAGCCCAGGTGACCCCAGAAATCATGGAATCACTGTCTTCAGAATACTTCCTTTGCTCAGGTCCCAAGGCACTCCATCCCTTTCAGAAACTCTGTTTCTCTTCCCAGAACTCTGGTGACTCCCCTGTTTTCTAGTAGGAGCCACTGTAGCAGACACTAATTTCTCTGTTTTCCAGAACCCCAGCAGCACTGCCCTACCAACCCTCACCCAGAGATAAACTGGAGCCATTCTTTTGTGCATCCCATGGGCTACACGTCAGGCCTAGGAAATAGGACTGAACAACATCTGGAGTAAACTGAAGTCCTGTCCATTAGCAAGCAGCCACTGTCCTAGGCATCACAGCACTCAGGAGGGCTTCAGAAATTGCTGGAAGCAGAAAGCTCCCCTGGGATTTGATTGTCCCTAGAAATGTATGCTGAACTCCACCTATGAAAGGAAGAAGAATTCATAGACCAACACCTGCTTTCCTTCCCGTTCTCAGAAGAGGAAGTTGAGGCCCACTTCCTCAGCCCCTGCCCAGACTCAGATCATCCCAGGTTCCCAAATGTCCCCCCTGGATCTAGAGGCATGAAACAGATGCCCACCTGATGGATTCAGTGGGTGCACACAAGCAGGGTGACTTTTCCTTCAGGGGAGATCATCGGGGGACATGAATCGAAACCCCACTCCCGCCCCTACATGGCCTATCTTGAGTTTGTTGCTCAGGGTGTATGGAAGAAGTGTGGTGGGTTCCTGATAAGAGAAGACTTTGTGCTGACGGCCGCTCACTGCTTAGGAAGGTGAGGACCAGAAAATAGCCCAGACCCTCCTGCAAATATTACACAGAGACCTCTGCCTCTTTCTCAGTAGAAAAATGGACACCTGGGAGAATATGTGCAGGAGATGCCTTTAGGGGTGAAAAAGAAAGAGGATGGGCCAAGTCCTATGAAGAGCAAGGCAGGTGACTCTGGAGGCACTACTGAGTAAGAAAGACCAGAGTGGCCAAGCCTGCCATATCAAGAGCTGGGAACATGCTTTTAAATGACAATGAAAACTAAAAAAAAAAAAAATCGTATGTGTTTTCCTGGGCATGATTGAGTCCTGAGAACCTATGGCTTCAGAAATCTCCTCAACTGATAAGAAACAGAGGGCACTGTCACTCAACCCAAGGTCTCCTCTCCTATCTGCTCCCCCTCAGCTACAGCTCTACCCTGGCCCTGCTGTAGCCTGCTCTTCACAGCTCCTAGATGTATTCTTTATGACTCCACATCACCCATGACCACTGCACTCTCTATGCAGGCCAATGAATGTCACCCTGGGGGCACACAACATTAAGAAGCAGGAGAAGACCCAGCAGGTCATCCCAGTGAAAAGAACCATCCCCCACCCAGACTATGAAGATCATTACTTCTACAATGACATCATGTTATTGCAGGTATGTCCCTCTCCCAGCTACCTCTGACTCCCTAGTACAGGTGCTACCCTCCCACCATGACCCTGCCCTTTTACTGACTTGCACCCTGGCCATCATGGTGTCCAGGCCCAGAGGCCCTTATCTGAACTGAACTCTTTCTTCTCCCCCATAGCTAGAGAAAAAAGCCAAGTTGAATGCAGCTGTGCAGCCTATCAAGCTGCCCAGGGGCAAGGACAAGGTGAAGCCTGGGAAGGTGTGTCTTGTGACTGGCTGGGGGAGAGTGTCCCTAAATGGCAAATGCTCCAACACACTGCAGGAGGTAAATCTGAAAGTACAGAAGCACCAGGTGTGCGAGCGTGAGGAATTCTTAAAAGAGTACTACAAGAGTAGCATCCAGATATGTGCGGGAGATCCAAAGGAAAACAAGGCTTCCTTTAAGGTGAGATTGAGTGTCTGTCTCTCTTGGCTCTGAGGAAAGGGGTGTTTGGGGGAAGATCTGGGGCCTGGAGACCAGGCAGCATGAGCCTCGCTCACCCAGTTGGCTGTGATTTCTCCCTGGAAAGAGAAGAAGGGAGCAGCTGGGAGTACCTAGGGCCTGCACTGAATGATGCCTGCCTGGAAAGCTGAGCTTGCAGTGCTCCACACTGCCTCAGCTCACAGGCATTAGAGACCTGTGCACCTATGTGTGCAGTTGCTCTCACTAAGTGGCTCCTCGGTGCTGGCACCCACCCTGGTCCCTGGGCTCATCCTCCATTCGGGTGTCTGTGCCACTCACCTGCTTCCACAACCTTGAACAATGCAACACTGGACCCTCACACTTTCATAGGGAGATGACCCAGAACCTGGGGAGCAGGACAGAGGCTGACCCTGGGAGGGAGGTGAAGTAATAACAATGTCCACAGTCAGAACATATCAGCTGAGAGCCCCCAGAGTCCTACCTAGTCCTCTGAGTGCAGACCCTACAGGTCGTCCTTGTCTACGAGGGGGCTTGAGATGGCAGGAAGGATCCAACTAGGAGAATACAGGCTCAGCCCTCCCTCTTCTCTCTTCACAGGGGGACTCTGGAGGCCCTCTTGTGTGTAACCATGTGGCCCAAGGAATTGTCTCTTATGGAAATGAAAATGGGACACCTCCAGGCGTCTACACCAAAGTCTCCAGATTTCTACAATGGATAAAGGAAACCATGAAAAGCCACCAACTGCAGGAGACAAACTAAGGCACCTATGGGACTAATCTTCTCTCCAGAAACTGAGTCTAGAATCACCCTGGAGGAGGTGCCCAGAACTGAATAAATGTCTCTTAGCCATGTGGGAAGGCTGGTTTCTTCTTTATTCACTGGCCTTCATTCACAGGGTCTGTGTGCCAGGCAGCCAATGACACAGTTCTCCTATTTGCTGCTTTTCCCTCATCTTTCTCCCTCAACACCTGCCTAAACCCCACACAAAGCTGGGACCCAGCTCCTTCCCACCTACTCCAGTATTTCCGGGGCTTGCCTTTCTTCCAGTGTTGGAGCTGGGCACCACCAGGAGAAATTTTGGATGGCTCTTGTCCTGGGTCTCATGGTGAGTTTTCTACCTCCTTCCATGTATGAGGGGACAGAAAAGAAGGGGAGAGCACCATGGTTCCTGGAGGCCAGATAGGCACAACTGAGGTCACCGTTCAAGGACATGGTCCTACCTCCTGGGCACAGGAAGGGCCCTTCTAAACAGGATATTTCTCTTCCCCAGGTTTATCCTTAAGAGGGACAGTCCTTGAATAGCTCCTCATTCTCACATGGAATTACATTCCTTCCCTGCCCTCCTCTGAGTTCAGGGTCCACCTTCACCTCCAACTTCATGGCTGCCCATTCTTCTCCATCCCTGCTCATATTCTATCAACTCCTCTCCAGGCCATATTGATCTGGGCTGCTCCCTTACTCAAATCCCTCCACCTAGGACTCCCAGATCCTCATGGGGTTCCATCAGGCCTTTCCATTGGGGTGCCAGCCCAGCTCATGCCCTGGCAGAGAGGGGACATCATAAGAACCAGGGCAGTGCTGGCACCAGGCAAGGCCCATGGAGGACCTGGCTGGCAGGATCTCTCTACAGAACACTTGGTCCTTCTTTCACTTGGGCACAACTAAAGCAACCCCTCACTTTCAGATTGGTGTTCTCCCATGTGCTCAGGGTCCACTGGCCACCTGATCACTCAGCAGCCTAAGCCACTTTCAGCCTTTCCCTCTCGGTCACTGCCAGCCTATATCCTGAGACTCCCTGCTAGTCTTCTAGGCTATATCAGTTGTATAAGTTCCATAAAAGAGTGCCTTTCTGCAGAAGGACTGTGAAACACAGCTTTTCCCAGCAATCACACTCATTGAGCACTTCATAATGGCCAGAACTTGGGGATATACCATTAAAACAGTAATAGACCCAAGTGGAAAGAACAGTGTTGAAGACTTTCCAAATTGTCCTGCTCCATCTGTAATGCCAGATTTGTGGGGCCCCAATAGACCTCCAGGAGCCGAATCCGATGCAATCACACAAGAGTCTTTATTGCAAGCTCGAGCCTGGACTCACAACCATTTCCAATGCAGTGGTCCCAGGGAATGAATCCCTGTCCTTTGTTCAGTGATATTTTGTAGGTTTGGAGGGGTACTCTATGCATCACAACATCACACAGCAAATCATTCCATACTGCGGGAAAATCAAACAACAACTCTTAACATTGATTAGCACATTCACTGATGGGAACAAGTTGGGTAGGGGTGATTGGTTAGTACAAGAGGGGGATTCCTTTGAACTGATTGGTTTAAGCCACAAGGGGTGTATGTGCTAAACTACATGGTTTCCCAACATGTTATCAGCCTCCATAAACTACTGGGGGGTCATCTGGAATCCCAGGCATTTTCCCTGTCTCATGCTGATTGGAGATTGCTAGGGGGTTGCTATGGGTCCTCACCTAGCCTAATTGAGTCAGGGACACTTGGCGCTGCATATCTCTTGTTATTTATAGACAAACAACTCAGAATGGTGGGTATGTGCTTAGGAGTGCTCTGTTGGTTTTTCCAGGGACAAGGGTCATGCCCCCTTCCTTGGACAGGCTTTGAGATAGAAACTGTTTTCAAAAATGGAGTCACATCAGTTTCTCACATCCTCACTATCTGTCTATAAGGTATAGACCTATGTGAGAAATACATTAGAATTCAGAATTCATATCTTAGTTTTATTTCTAGTTACAGGCAATATGAATACAATATTGCATGATGCTCTAGGACAAATACTATGAAATTTGGAAGTGACGTTCATCATTTAGTTTGTGAATGTGAAGCTGCTGAACTATTCACCAGAGCATCCTTTTTAGGAGAGGGCAACAAATAGGGAAGGAGATTACCAGGGCAACCTTACTTTCATTTGTTTTCAAAGAAGCAGATATAAACGCCAGTGTACAGATTCACATTGAAGGAGACACACACATGCAGTTGGACTGCTCAGAAACATAATACCTGTCATTACTGCACCCCTGCCATACAGAACAACATGAATCAGGGAGGCTCCTGGGGCCTAGGAAAATGGAAACATGGCTCTAATATTCAGGCCATCATGGTTACTGCTCCCATCCATGTCCCCAGTGCCACCTGGAAGTCTCTTTGATGGGAAGTTCCTGTCTTGGAGATCACAGATACAGTGTGTAACTTTTTGTTAAATAAAGGTATTCCTATGTGGGGCTAACCCCGCAGCCCTGGATTAGGGTCTGTTCATTGATTTGAGGCACAGGAAGTTTAGCACAAGTTCTAGCTCTAGATTAATGTCCCCTTGTCCCAAGCACATACCACTTTACACTCCTTTGTCACATGAAGTAAAATCTACCCCTTCAATTTTGTAACTCTCAAAGGTATGCCCTTTTCCATCCCTTTGTGTACAAATCATGCTGCCATACAATCATAATGATCTATAAGGAAAAAGCAATGGATGTCACACAGCTTCACATTTGGGGCTGAAAGAAATTCCTGCATCTAAGACATGCTAGGAACAGACTTCTGCATTAGGAAAAGAAGGAGGAGAAGAAGAAGGAGGAGGAGGAGAAGGAGGAGGAGGAGAGGAAGAAGAAGAAGGAGGAGGAGGAGGAGGAGGAGGAGACACAGAAAGTCAAACAAAAAATAGTATTTAAAAAAGTGACTTGGTCATGTGCCTACATATTCAATTTAGGAGTTACAGCTCCTTTGAGGAAAAGATTCCGTGGTTTAAAATAACTTTTAAAACCATTCTTGTAGGCCTTTATCCTCCTCAGGAAGAGGAAAAAGAAAGGAATGTCCAGGAAAGGGTAATGACTGAGCAAAGGTGTTCACACCAAGCCCAGGTGCCCTCACCACCATGCCAGAAAGGGACCTTAAGAGTCTCTAACACTCAGACTAGGGTGGCTTCCCAGCATCTCCAGGCATGAGATGAGCTGCTTTCTGCTCAGAAACCTCCCTAGAGAGAAAGTCTCTGCGCCCTCCTGCAGTTGCTCAGTGACAGGATTTCATAGCACCTTCCTCTAGTAGTAGAAACCACCCAGAGGCACAAGTGGGTGGATTCAAATGTCAAATGAAAATCTCTCTGGTAAAGTTAACTACATGGATAAATATGAAAGCTAATATGGTTGTATTTTTGGTCTCTAGATTGTCTTTTTCTCCTAAAATATTTAAAAGGAAAATGCATAAAATAATGTTAATTGGCACACAATATACTAGGACATAATTTGTGATGATAATAAAGAGTGGTATGGATCTGGATAGGAGCAGAGTTAAGGTGTGTTGTTGAAGCTACATTGGTATTAATTCAAACAACATCAGTATACCTATAGGATATTCACTGTACATTCTATAGTAATCATTAAGAAAATAACTTAAAAATATACTCAGAAAAGTAAACAAATCATTCAAAATTGAACATTAGAAAAAATCCACCACAAAAGACAGCAATATTGGATGAATTGAGGAGCAAAAAATATATGACATAAAAAAACACACAGCAAACTGGCAGAAAAAAAGTTTCTTATTATCAATAATCACTTCAGTGTAAGTGGACTAAACTCACCAATTCAAAAATAGGGATTGGAAAAGGGGATTAAAACTATGATCTGACTATATGCTGCTTTTGAGACTTACCTTAGATGCTACTATATACTATATAAAATGAAAGGACAGGGGAAGATATTCCATGCAAAAGTAATCTAAAGCGAGCTTGGGTGGCTATGTTAATATCAGACAAAGTAGACTGTAAAATAAATCAAATTAAAAGACACAAAGAACATTGCATATTGAATAAAAGTCAATACCTCAAGAAGACAATACATATGTAAACTTCAAAGACATATAGGCACCCAACATCAGCTCTCCAGAAAGATGAAGCAAATATTGGCAGAGCTGAAGGGAGAAATTAACAGTTCCATAAAAATCCTTGGGAGCTTCAATACCTTGCTGTAATAGTGGATAGAACATCTAGACGGAAGTTCTACAGGATACAAAATTGTTGAACAACACTGAAACCATCTAGACTGTCTGACAGCAACAGAATGCACATCTCTCTCAAGTGCATATATAACATTCTTCAGAATAAAAAATACATTATGCTATAAACCAATTTTCAGTGTGTTCAAAAAATATTGAAATAATTCAAATTCTGTTCTCTAGTCACAATAGAAGAAAGCTAGAAATCAATAACAGAAGGAAAATAAAAGTTCTCAAACTTGGAAAGTGAAATAGCCACTTAAATAATCAATGTTTCCAAGAAGAAATCACAAGAGAAATTAGAAAATTCTTTGAGATGAAAGGAAATAAAACATAACAAAATGGATGGGATACAGACAAATCAGTGCTAAAAGAGAAACATATAACTGGGAACATGCACATAAAAGAGGAAAGGTCTCAAGTCAACATCATAACTATACAACTGAAAGAACTAATAAAATATCAAATAACTCAGTCCAGCCAAAGGAAGAAAATTATAAAGATTAGAAAGAAATCAGTAAAATGGAAAAAAAATCAAACCACAGGTAGTTTCTTTCAAAAGATAACAAAATTGATAAACTTTTAGCTAGATCAACTCAGAACAAGATGATTCATATTACTAAAGGCAGAAATGAAAGTAGAGACATTCCACCCATGAAACAGATTATAAAAGAACAGTTGAACCCAGTAAAACTGGATAATCTACATGGAATGAACAAACTCCTAGAAATCCTGAAATTATCACAATTGACTCAAGAAAAATAAGAAAACTGACCAGACCTATAACCCGTAAAAACTTTGAGTCAGTAATTTAAAAATCTCCCAATAAATAAAACCTCAGAAACAG